TTATAAATAAGTAAAATATTATACAGACAATGTACAAGATGTTCAGTTTGTGCCATAACAAGCTTCAATCAATAATTATTACTCCAATGAGTATAATTCACAATAATTTTTATATAATATAATAAATATTTGAATATATAAAAATATTTTTAAAAATTTGTTTTAAAAATTAATTGAAAAAAAATATTTAAAATATTTTTTATATTTAAATATTCTTTTCCTCAATTAATCTTAAAAAAAATATTTTTAAATATTTAAAAATATTTAAAAATACTATATATATATAAAAATAATTGTTGATTATTATATTGGATTATTAATTGAATGAAGCTAGAGCTTTTAATATGGCTTTTAATACTGCTTGACAAGGAGAGAGCATCATTCCATCTTTGTCTCTCTTACATCGCATATGTAGTAGCGTCCATGTAGGTACAAACACTAAAAAATATTAAATTTAATTTTTTTATTGTTTTGAATAATTTTATCATTAATATACTTATTTTCAGAACTATTTCAATTTTATTTCATACTTATGTTTATATAAATTATAAATTAAAAACATATCAAAAATGTAATACATATTAATAAAATGCAAATACATATAGAAAATTAATTATAAAATGTCATCTTAAAATAGTTTTATTTTTGTTCTTTATTTACATATGCATACATATACAAAAAATAAAAATAATATGATAGCCTTTTTGCTGACATTATCTCTCAATATTTGCATCCGTGTGCTCACGTATTAGTGTTTGTACCTACATGGACGCTACTACATATGCGATGTAAGAGAGACAAAGATGGAATGATGCTCTCTCCTTGTCAAGCAGTCAGCATGTTACCACAGAAATTTCCCCTGCTCCTTATGAATCTAGTGAGAATCTTATCGTCCAGATATTTCATAAAATAAGTGACATAACTTCGTGAATTTTTTTTTAATATATTCTTTATATAATAAAGCAGTCCTCTAAAGGCCGGATTTTACATTTTCGCTCTTAAAAATTTATAATAAATAAAATACGGACTCGCGGCTAACCCAACCTTACCCGTTCCTAGCTGTGCATTCCCCCAAGTTTATTAAAAATTTTTATTTTATCTTTTTTTCATAAAATAGCTCTTTAGAGGACTACAAATGAGCTTACTGATTAAGAATATCCTAAATTTAATAAGATTCATTCAATATTTTCGCTAATATCTGGAAAATAAGAATCCGTAATTCCCGGCCGGCCGATAGGCGTCTCCACATGTCGCCTGCCGACCCTTAAGGTGTGCGATTACATGGACGCGCGGAAACGCGGAAACGCGGAAACGCGGAGAGAAAGTAACTAAACTTTACTGGAGTCCCGCATTTCCGCGCGTTCCGTTCCGTCTGTTTTGATTGCCTTATATTACATGGAGCACATTTTGAGCGGAAAAGCGGAACGGTATAGTGACAAATAGACATTTGTATTAATTTTTTAAATTTATATTTACTTAATTCATTGTAATTCCTTTTAATATGTTCATCTTTTCAACTATCTATTGAATACAAGCATTTTAATCAATAAATATAGTTAAATATTAATATTTTATAATTCCCCGTTCCGCTTTTCCGCTCAAAATGTGCTCCATGTAATATAAGGCAATCAAAACAGACGGAACGGAACGCGCGGAAATGCGGGACTCTAGTAAAGTTTAGTTACTTTCTCTTCCGCGTTTCCGCGTTTCCGCGTTTCCGCGCGTCCATGTAATCGCACCCTAAGGGTCGGCAGGCGACATAGTGGAGACGCCTATCGGCCGGCCGGGAATTACGGATTCTTATTTTCCAGATATTAGCGAAAATATTGAATGAATCTTATTAAATTTAGGGTATTCTTAATCAGTAAGCTCATTTGTAGTCCTCTAAAGAGCTATTTTATGAAAAAAAGATAAAAATAAAAATTTTTAATAAACTTGGGGGAATGCACAGCTAGGAACGGGTAAGGTTGGGTTAGCCGCGAGTCCGTATTTTATTTATTATAAATTTTTAAGAGCGAAAATGTAAAATCCGGCCTTTTAGAGGACTGCTTTATTATATAAAGAATATATTAAAAAAAAATTCACGAAGTTATGTCACTTATTTTATGAAATATCTGGACGATAAGATTCTCACTAGATTCATAAGGAGCAGGGGAAATTTCTGTGGTAACATGCTGACTGCTTGACAAGGAGAGAGCATCATTCCATCTTTGTCTCTCTTACATCGCATATGTAGTAGCGTCCATGTAGGTACAAACACTAAAAAATATTAAATTTAATTTTTTTATTGTTTGAATAATTTTATCATTAATATACTTATTTTCAGAACTATTTCAATTTTTATTTCATACTTATGTTTATATAAATTATAAATTAAAAACATATCAAAAATGTAATACATATTAATAAAATGCAAATACATATAGAAAATTAATTATAAAATGTCATCTTAAAATAGTTTTATTTTTGTTCTTTATTTACATATGCATTACATATACAAAAAAATAAAAATAATATGATAGCCTTTTTGCTGACATTATCTCTCAATATTTGCATCCGTGTGCTCACGTATTAGTGTTATATTAAAAGCCATATTAAAAGCTCTAGCTTCATTCAATTAATAATCCAATATAATAATCAACAATTATTTTTATATAATATATAGTATTTTTAAATATTTTTAAATATTTAAAAATATTTTTTTTAAGATTAATTGAGGAAAAGAATATTTTAAATATAAAAAAATATTTTAAATATTCTTTTTCAATTAATTTTTAAAACAAATTTTAAAAATATTTTTATATATTCAATTACTTATTATATTATATAAAAATTATTGTGAATTATACTCATTGGAGTAATAATTATTGATTAAAGCTTGTTATGGCACAAACTGAACATCTTGTACATTGTCTGTATAATATTTTACTTATTTATAAAATGTTTTTTATAAATAAATAAAATATTATATATATATAATATATAAGATTATAATATATAAGATTATTGATGTTACATTGTATAACTCTCATTTCTTTCTCTCTGCTACATAAGTACTTATGACGTGAAAGAACTTACGAGTAACGTATGATGGCTCAATGCAAGAATATTTAATCACGTAAAAAACTTGAGTTCAAATATATCAATATCAATTTTTTTTAATATATTGGAATATAGAAAATCATAGAAATATATTTTTTATATAGGCGATAAACTTAAAAATTTGATATTGAAAATATTTTAATCATTTTACAACTACACATACTATAAATATATAAATGCAAAATAATTCCGTAAATAAATTTCAAGTAATAAATCAATTGCACACATGCACACAGCTGGTATGTAGATTTTTATTAAATTTATTTTCTGAATTATTTTACACTTATATATAGTGTATGTAGTAAAAATATTTTCAATATATTAAAAAATTTTTAAATCGCCGAAATATATTTTTTTATCATTTTTCTATATTCTAATATATATATATATATATATATATATATATATATATATATTATATAAAAATTGATATTGATATATTTGAACTCTAATTTATATACTGGATGATATACTGAACATCCTTGCATTGATTATACATTACTCAACGTTCTTTCACGTTATAAGTATTTGGAGCAAATTATATACAATAGCATCAATAATCAAAAAGAAATCAAGAATATAATCAACATATCCCTTATATAATATATATATATATATATATATATATATATATATATATATATGTTATATATATACGTTATGCACATATGTGCATAACCATATATACAATTTCCAAAAAGTGGGTGCTTATTAGTCTTGCTACGTTACTGCTTTCTGCTACGGAAGGCCAGAAAGCATTTTCAGGCGGCATCTCGCGTATACCGGCACGGTAGATGAACAAGGAGAACACGTGATTATCGGTCCTTGTCTCTCTTACGTGCGTCCGCGTGAGCGATGCAGTTGGTGTATGTACGTGTACAGACACACCACTACATAAAACCCGAGAATTGGTTTCTCGGCGTTGGCAACACTGAAACCGGAGTTTCGCGTTGTCACCGCACGAGGTCTCCAATATCAATTCGGAGTTTGCCTGCGGGTGTACTGCCGACCCTTAAGTTTATTAATTAAAAGTTGTTGCAAATAATTAGGCAGCAACTTTTAATTAATAAACTTAACATTGTCATATGCTATATGTTATTTATTTTTCCGATATAAATTTAGATCTATTTAGATATCTTAAATACATCTAGAAAATAGTTTCCAAGCATCTAAAATATATCTTATACATTTAAAAGATAACTATTAGACTTCTTTTAGATTTCTACAAGATATCTTGAAGACATCTATAGATGTCTAAAAGATATCTGAAACTGTTGTATAAGACATCTTTTATATTCCTAAAAGATATCTTTTGGTACAAAATAAAAGACATGTCAAGATATAGTAATCTAAGTAATCTAGTAAAGAAATTTAGATTTCTAAAAGATATCTTTTTGTCTATTTGGGATGTTTGCATAATTTAGAAACTCATAGTTTATTTATAATTAGAGAAAATTAATTGAGAGCAAATAGTTAGCAGACATAACTTTAAAAAAATTTTTCTTTTTACTTTAATTGATATGAAATTATTTGGGAAATGCGTCTATATAATGTTTTCAACCTCTGGGAAATAATAGTTTAATTTTGATTTTGGCACGAAAACAACTAAGAAATATTTTATAAGGATCCTTACCAAGTATAATTATTATGTATAAATCTGTCAAAATATTTTTCTTGTAATTATTTATGCTAAATTTATATTTTGACTAGCATTGAATTGATGATATATATAATACAGATCTAAAAACTTCAAGGATTGCCTTACCAAGTATATAATTATTATGTATACATTTGTCAAAATATTTTTTTTTATAATTATTCATGCTAAATTTACATTTTGACTAGCATTAAATTGATGATATATAATACACAGATCTAAAAACTTCATTACAAAAAGATATAAATACAATAAGTTTTTTATTTTTTGTCTAATAAATATCTCACATTTTGCAATTTATCATTACAACTTACTACTAGAGAAGAAAATAAATATTTTCAATTTCCTGCCGATGTTAAGGCCCATATTCATAGCTTGTTAGCCTTACATTTATAGAAATAAGCCTTATTAAATCGTAAGCAATAAACCAAAATCATATTTAATTTCTGTAGATGCGACCTCAATGTAATAATATATAATTTTACATATATTTGAAATAAAAATATATAACGTAATGTAATACCACTGTGGTAATACATAAAATCTCAAATTTAACTTAAACATCAGTTATTATATATTAATTCACGATATTAATTTTCATAGTTATGAACATAGCTTTTAAATTCACACACACACACACACACAAATGCTTAGTACAATTATTATTTATTTACAATTATTATACAAAATGTATTTGTCATGTATTTAATAGATGCATTATATGGATTTAAGGAATCAAGTATTGGATGAAAAAAGTTTGATAAATTTTCTGTTTGTAGAAAACTTCCACCTTTTTTATTTCAATCTAAACCTTCCTTCTTCTCTTTAATCGCCTCCTAAAAAAATAAATTATATTCATATACATAATAATACATACACAAAGCAAACATTCCTTTTATATTTTGTATTATATAACTGCATTAAAATATATACCTTAAAACGTTCTTCAAACAGTGAAAGTTCCGCAATTAAATCAGTAATAGCATGCATAAAGGCTTCATGTGGAGTATAATCCGATGTTGTTTGTATCCTAATAACAAACTTATGTTCTAGCGGATGAGGAACTTTGTAGCCAGCAAATAATACTTGAGGATCCTTTAGTAATTGACTGTAGAATAAAAAACAATTATCAACTGATTATATAAAAGAAGAACTGACTCAAGTAGCAAATTGATGTCATTCGATGTCAAAATGACATCATAATGTTATTTTGACATATAAAACGTCATTCAATGTCACTTTGATGTCTAATAACATCATTTGACTCTAATAACATCATTCAATCTCACATAACATCATCGACATCACTTTGATGTCTAATAACATCATTTGACGTTTAATATCATTCGACGTCATTTTGATGTCACATGTCATTCGACGCCACTTTTATGTCTAATAACGTCATTTGACATCTAATAACATCAATGTCATTTTGACATCTAATAAAATCATTTGACAACTAATAACATCATTCAACATTACTTTGACATTTAATAACATCATTCAACATTACTTTGACATTTAATAACATCATTTAACGTTTAATAATATTATTTGACGTCTTATAAACGTCAATCCACGTTACTTTGACGTCTAAAAACGTCATTTGACGTCAAAATGCCATATGCTTGTTACCTGAGAAAGTAACATTCAAATAACAGGTATGCTTACTTGCGAATCATGTTTCCCAAAGTATGATCCTCTTTGTTGATTGTAAAGATAGCAGCATTGGGCACTTTTGTATCTTGTTCCTTTATTATCCTATAAAAAAACAGATGTATAAAATCAGCTAATTCGATTAATTGTATTTTATCACAAACGAGGTTAGAGATAAACAAACTTCTTTTCTCCTTCATATAACAAGAATGATTCAAAGGTCGGAGGTGCATTCATCTTGTTTTGTGAATTCCTTTTGTTTACGACTTTCTTTCAACTGATGGATCGAAAAAAAATACCACAATCTTGTAAATTATTGTAAATTATTACAGCAATTAAGGGTCGACAGCTTCATGATCGACAGGTCGGCCGGCCAAACTCCGAATTGATGTTGGAGACCTCGCGCGGTGACAACGCGAAACTCCGATTTCAGTGTTGCCAACGCCGAGAAATCAATTCTCGGGTTTTATGTAGTGGTGCATGTTTGTACACGTACATACACCATTGCATTGCTCACGCGGACGCACCGTAGAGAGACAAGGACCGATAATCACGTATTCTCCTTGTTCCTCTACCATGCCGGTATACGCGAGATGCGGCTTGAAAATGCTATCTGGCCTTCCGTAGCAGAAGGCAATAATAGCGTAGCAAAGCTAATAGCACCCACTTTTTGGAAATTGTATATATGGTTATGCACATATGTGCGTATATATATATATATATATATATATATATATATATATATATATATATATATATATATATATATATATATTATATAAGGGATATGTTGATTATTCCTGATTTCTTTTTGATTATTGATGCTATTGTATAATTTGCTCCAAATACTTATAACGTGAAAGAACGTTGAGTAATGTATAATCAATGCAAGGATGTTCAGTATATCATCCAGTATATAAATTAGAGTTCAAATATATCAATATCAATTTTATATATATATATATATATATATATATATATATATATATATATATTAGAATATAGAAAAATGATAAAAAAATATATTTCGGCGATTTAAAAATTTTTTAATATATTGAAAATATTTTTACTACATACACTATATATAAGTGTAAAATAATTCAGAAAACAAATTTAAAAATAAATTTAATAAAAATCTACATACCAGCTGTGTGCATGTGTGCAATTGATTTATTACTTAAAATTTATTTACGGAATTATTTTGCATTTATATATTTATAGTATGTGTAGTTGTAAAATGATTAAAATATTTTCAATATCAAATTTTTAAGTTTATCGTCTATATAAAAAATATATTTCTATGATTTTCTATATTCCAATAATATATTATAAAAAAATTGATATTGATATATTTGAACTCAAGTTTTTTACGTGATTAAATATTCTCGCATTGAGCCATCATACGTTACTCGTAAGTTCTTTCACGTCATAAGTACTTATGTAGCAGAAAAAAAGAAATAAGAGTTATACAATGTAACATCAATAATCGGTAAAAATCAAGATAACGGTTGTCATATCTGTGTATATATATATAAATATATAAACTTATATATATATTATATATATATAATATTTTATTTATTTATAAAATACATTTTATAAATAAGTAAAATATTATACAGACAATGTACAAGATGTTCAGTTTGTGCCATAACAGGCTTCAATCAATAATTATTACTCCAATGAGTATAATTCACAATAATTTTTATATAATATAATAAGTATTTGAATATATAAAAATATTTTAAAAAATTTGTTTTAAAAATTAATTGAAAAAGAATAATTAAAATATTTTTTTATAGACTAGTATGTTATTGCTCCGATCTTGCGATGCTGAAAAAAATTATTACATAAATTTTTTTTATGAATATAATAAATTATTTATTATATATATTTTTATTTAATTATTTATATAATAATTATATTTTAATAAACAGGGTGTCTGGTAACTAATGGACCAATGATTAAGGGCGGATTCTCTGGCCAATTTGGAGACGATTTTTCCTTAGCAAAAAAGTTGAGAAGTCAATAATTTTCGAGTTATAAAGCGATTTAAAAAAATGGGTTTTTTGAAAACTAAACGTTTTGGAGTTAAAAGTAACATAATTACATTCTTCAGTTAATTTCAGGTAGAGTTTACTATAATAAAATTTTAATTTGAGACTCAGTTATAAAGATACATAATGACAAATATTGGTAAGTTGTAAAAATTGATGACCTTTTTCGATATTTTCGCTGAGGAAAAATCGTTCCCAAATTGACCAAAGAATCCATTTGTAATCGTTGGTCCGTTAGTTATTGGACACCCTGTATATTACGCACACGGATAAGAAATATTTTACATTTGCTCATCATATATAAAAATATAAAAGTAATGGAAATTAAATTTTACATTAATTTATAATAGTATTATGAGGTAGTTAATACATGAAAATCATATAAGATGAATGCTGTACATCGATTAGCATAATATGATTACAAGTCAATAAATGATTTTGCTAATATATTATTTTGAATAAAAATTAAAAAAATATAAAACGAAAAAAATGAAATTAATAAATTTTCTTCATTCTTTGTTTTCTTCTTCTATTAATTAATTTTTCTATTATTTGAATAAAAGATGTATCGTGTGTAATAAATTAAATAGATAGATAATTTATATAAATATATAATTACGTTTTGAAATTTATATATATATATATATATATATATGTATATATATTAATTTCAATATATATACATATATATATAAATTATTATGTATCTATTACATACGATACGCCTTTTATTCAAATAATAGAAAAAATAATAGAAAAAAACAAAGACTGAATAAAATTTATTTATTTCATTTTTATTTATTTTTATAAAATTTTTATTCAAAATAATATATTAGCAAAATCATTTATTGCGACTTGTAATCATAATATTACGCTAATCGATGTACAGCATTCATCTTATAAGATTTCCATGTGTTACTACCTCACAATACTATTAAATTATAAATAAATGTGAAATTTAATTTGCATTACTTTTATATTTTTATATATAATGAACAGATGTAAAATATTTCTCATTCGTGTGCGTAATATATTGGTTTTTGTGTTTATACTGATTTTACACATATCAAATGCAAGAGAGACAAAGATAGAATGATACTCTCTCCTTGTCAAGCTGTCAGTGTGTTACCACGAAAATTTCCCCATGAGTATAGATCTAGTGAGATTTGTTCATCCCAAATATTACATAAAAAGAAGTTACGTAACTTCGTGAAATATTTTTTAATATATTCTTTATATAATAAAGCAGGGAGACAAAGAGTCAAATTTTGCATTATTGCTCTTAAAAATTTATAATAAATTAAATACGATCTCGTGGCTAACCCAACCTTACCCGCTGCTAGCTGCGCATCTCCCCAAGTTATATTATGAATTTTATATTTATCTTTTTTCCAAAAAATCGATCTTTGTCTCCCTGCGGACAATCCTACTGATTAAGAATATCGTAAATTTAATAAGATTCATTAAGTATTTTGGCTAATATATGGGATGAACAAATCCGTAATTCCCGGCCGGCCGATAGGCGTCTCCACCATGTCGCCTGCCGACCCTTAAGAGGTTATAGCAAGCGCGGGGAAGTTGAGTTGTCACAGTTTTGAGGATCATAAAGTTGACCGAACAAAAGGAACAGCTGGACGATGTCAGAAATTCTCCCGATCGGACGGGGGAATAGATTCAACCCATATCGTAAGGAGAGTGGCAAAACGAACGAGAAAGGAAGAGGAAGGAGCCGAGAGTTTTTAGATAGTATAGAGAACATGATAGAGACAGAGAATGACGAGGAGAGTAACGTAACAAGTAAATTACAATTAAGAGCAAGCAGTTCAATTAAGGAAACAGGTTCGCAATCAAGCGAGAATCAACCAGACAAAGATGCAGATATGGAGCTGACGGAGGAGATTATAGATTCGAGCCAAGGACCAAGTACTAGGACAAGGAATGCAGAGGATGATACACAAACAACCAACCGAAAGGAACAGGAAAATATCAACAAACAAGTAACGAATATAAATAAGGTCATAAAGGCAGATAGCTTTGTCGTGATTAACGGTATTCTTGAGAAAGTTAGCGATATAGATAAAGAAATTTATGACAAGATATTTCGTTTAAACAATCAGAGATATGATAGCAAAATTACAAATGTATGTAAAATTAATTGTAAAATTAACACAGATCATGTTATGTCAAATAGGGGTAAGAACTGTACAAAAATTTTACTGTGGTGCACTAAGAATGGGGTATTCCCTATTAATATAGAAATGCTAAAATTTAATCTATCAACAATAAGTTTTAAAAATGCAAAAGAAGCTAATGATTGTTTAGACAAAATAGACAAAGTAGAAAATAAATGGCTTACCGGTTTTATAGATAAAATGTTAGTTATGTGTAGAGGTGTAATTGTCGACTAGCCGTTCGAGATACCAGAATTATGGGAAAATATAGTTGAGAGGGAAGATATATTAAAAATAGAGAAAATGAAAAAAAGAATTTGGAATAAAACTGATAAGAAATACGAGGTAGTCAATACGAATAATTTTATTATAACTATGAAAGGGAATAAAATTAAGGATAGAATAACAATTTTTAATAATTTACACATAAGTCTAAGAATCAGACCATATGTAGAACCAGTGGTTCAATGTTTTAACTGTTTCATATTTGGTCATATCAAAACACATTGTAAGAGAGAGGTTAGATGCATTATTTGTGGAGAAAACGCACACGGAGAATGTAACAGGTTAACCACGTGTAGAAATTGCAGAGGAGATCATAGATCCACCGCAAAAAATTGTCCAGTTTTTCTAAGAAATAAGGAAATAAAAGTTATCATGGCATATAATAATATCTCATTCACAGAGGCTGAAAGATTGATTACTGGGAAGAACTATGAACAAATAACTCCGAAATATGATAGGTACACCAATCCAAACGCATGGCCTAAGCTAAAACAAAATATTGTAAAGAATGATTTCAGAAAAGAAAAAGAAAATCCAACGGTTATACATGGCCCTCCGAGAGAAGGACAAGGTTATACACACAAACCCAAAGAACGAGAAGCATTCAGAAGAGAAAAAGAAAAAATTGAGGAAGGAAGACAGGCGTACTTAAATTATTATAGAGAATTCCAAAAAAAAATTGAAGAGCCTTTACAAAAAAGAAGCGAATTCTTAGCTCAAATTATGAAGGGTAAATGTAAAGAGTCTGAAGACTTTAACAGAGACTTTGTAAATTTATTACATAAACATAGAATACCTTTGGACCGATTTCCAATTCATAATGAAGAAGAGGATATTCGACAAGAAGAAAATAACAGAGAAGTATATGTAAGAAAGAGGAAAATGGAGAAATATCAAGAGGAATTAACCAAAGCTAAGATGGTAAGACAGAATATGAAAAGAAACTATTGGGAAGATAGAAATAAAAAAGAAGATAAGAGCTATTAAGACTAACCAATGTCTACCATACTTTTATGGAATGCAGGAGGTATAAAAAACAAGAAATCAGAATTAAAAAACAATATTATTCCGTACGATATTGTAGTTATTACTGAAACTAAATTGAACAGAAATAATATTTTATATTTTTCAGGATTTAAGACATATAAATCTAATAATGCAACTAATAGTGGTGGAGTTGCGATTTTAGTTAAAAATAACATTGATTTCGAAGTTATTGAAGAATGGAACATCTCCTCCCCAAACATAGAAGCTATCGGTATTAAAATTAAAAATACAAATAACAACTTCAATCTAATAGCGGTCTATAGAAAACCATATGGTTTAGAAACAATTACTTCATGGCAGGATATATTAAAATTTAAAGGAGTCGATGACAAGTCAATTATTTTGGGCGATTTCAACTCCCACCATACTATTTGGAATTGTGATAGACAAAAACGGAGAAAATTTATACTTAACAATGTTTAACAAAGGCTACGTTAGTATAAATAATGATACTAAATCACGTCTAAATTACTACAATCAGTCTGCTTCTAATATTGATTTGGCATTTGCTAATAGAGATTTAATAGGAAAGCTAGAATATGTACAAATAAAAGATACATGGGGATCTGATCATTATCCAATAGAGATTAGTGTTAATATTATTATTTCACAATATAAAAAAAGAACAAATAGAATTACAAACAAAAACACAGATTGGAGGTTTTTTAAGAACAAGGTAGAGGAGGATTTACAAAAAATCCAGGACAGATCGATTGATTGTGATAATTTGGAGGAGAAATATAAAATATTTATAGATATTATCAAAAAAGCAGCCATGTTAGCAACAGGTAAAAAAATTGACAAATGTATAGATAATAACTCTAATGTAAATAATAGAATTAATGCGTGTAAGCTCAGACAACCTGTTAAATGGTGGGATAATGAATGCTCAGAGATAATAGAGAATAGGAAAAAAAAACTAAAGATATGGAAACGGACAGGAAAAGTGGAAGATTTTATTGAATTCAAAAAAGGTCGCGCATTAGCTAGAAAAGTCATTAATAGAAAGAAAAAAGAAGATTTTATTAAATTTTGTAATAGTATTAATAAACATACTAGTATGAAGTACGTTTGGAATTCAATGCGTATATATAAGAATGTAAGAAATAAGATTAACTGGAACGTTTGGCAACATAAAGATAGAGAACAAGAAATATGGAATACGATTGAAGAGCTTGCTCCTCCATGGGTTGCCGAGGAAAAAACAACAAGATGGATAACAAATATGACAGATAGAGAGGAGTTGAATAGGATATTTTCTATGGAAGAGCTCTCCCGTGCCCTACGGATGATTAAAAGAAACTCAGCTCCAGGGTTAGACGGAATACATTATATAATGCTAAAAAACCTACCGAAAACTGGCAAACAACTACTTCTAAAGTTGTTCAATGAAATTTGGATGAGGGATTGGTTTCCGTCGGAGTGGAGAAACTATCAGATTTTGTTTATTGATAAAATAGGAAAAGAAAAAGTTAGACCTATTGCACTTTCTTCATGTGTAGGAAAATTAATGGAAAGATTGATAAACGAAAGACTTATTTGGTGGCAAGAAAAAGAAAAAAAGTTATCATCAATGCAATGGATTCCGTAGGGGGAGATCATGTATGGAAAATTTAGTAAAGTTAGTATCGGATGTTCGTGGAACGAATCTGGCAGACAATTACACCTTAGCGGCTTTCTTGGACGTCTCAGCGGCGTACGATAATGTAGACTTTGATATATTAATAGAGAAATTAAGAGGGGAAAAGTGTCCAACGGGTATTTATAATTTTATTAATAGATGGTTAGAACCTCGTGATACATCTTTTGTGATTAATAACCAAAGAGTAGAAATTAGAAAAGTTAACAAAGGTTTGCCACAGGGAGCAGTTCTTAGCCCTATTCTATATGCGTTATACACAAATAAATTGACTTCCAGATTGGAAAATTCAGTCCAAATAGTACAATTTGCGGACGATATCGCGGTATATGTACAAAGTTCTAACAGATTTGGAAATAAAATAAACTTAGAGGTAGCAGTTAATAGAATAGCGAAGAATTTAGAAATTCTAAAACTAGACTTAGCACCACATAAAACAAATCTGGTGGAATTTTCTAAAAAGGGATTCTGTGATAAAAGGCTTTCTATTAATGTCAAGAAAACAAGAATTTTTAATAATCAGGGAGCTAGATTTCTAGGAATCTGGTTAGATAATAAGCTGGATTTTGATAAACAAGTTAGTGATATTAGAGGCAAAGTTAGTAGAGCTAATAATATTATGAAATACCTTAGTAATATAACTAGAGGCGTAGAAGTGAATACTGCTTTGATTCTATATAAAAGTATAGTAAGATCAGTTATGGATTACGGTTTGTTTGTATATAGTCCAACTTCAAAATCTGTTCAACTTAAATTAGAAAGGGGCCAATTTTTGGGAATTCGTACAGCTTTAGGATATAGAAATAGCACGCCAAATAATGTGTTGATTGCAGAGTCCAAGGTGATTTTATTAAAAGATAGAGCTTTGATGTTAGCTAAAAATTTTTGTAGCAAAATATTTAAATATGGAGAAAATACACTTAGAAATAGTCTTAATAACCTTCTAAACAAAGAGATGTTTGCAAGATATAGAAATCCAAGTTTTAATAAGAGTACTATTGGCGAAGCATGGGAGTATACGCGTCGTTTTAGCAACAGACTAGGTGCCCAAGAACACACTTTTGAAATATGGAACATGGAATATAGCTCCCTGACTAATGCGATAAATATAGATTTTGAAATCGGCAAGATCATTAAAAAAAAAGGAAAAAAAAGTGACTGTGATATTAGTCAAATAAAAGGATATAGGACTTTAGATATTAAAATGATTAACGAAATTAAACAGAGATATAAGTTAGATAATAAAACTTTTATTATGTATACTGACGGTTCTAAAGACATAACGGTTCAATCAACAGGTGCTGGTATAGCCATTGAAGAGCAAGACGAGGGTTATTATATTAGTTTACCTAAGGAATGCACAATATTTACGGTAGAGGCAATAGCAATTTCTACAGCTCTAAAGATTGCAGAAAGTAGAAGGAATTCCTTCAATAATGTAGTTATATTTTTTGACTCGAAGTCCGTTCTTCAAGCTATCTCTCAAAATAATATTAATGTATACAAAAATAAGTATGTTCTTGAAATAAGAAGGCTATATAGTCGATTTAAAGATCTTTATTTTAAGAATATATTGTTTGTATGGATTCCATCTCATTATGGAATCTCGGGAAATGAAATTGCAGATTTCCTAGCAAAAGCAGGTACCCAAGAACCGGCAAATGTTGAATTTGATATTCCTATTAGAGATTTAAGAAATATATATAAAAATGAAGCGTGGATAAGAACACAAGAATATGTTATTAGAGATTCTAAATTGAAAGGAAAGTACTATTTTTCTAACTTTTATGATAGGAACAGTAAAATACCGTGATTTGAACATTTTAACGAGGAAAGATATTTTGTAACCTTTGTAAATAGAATAAGAGCGAATCATTATAATTTAAATGCATCGTTAGCAAGGAAAAACTATATAAATGACACAAGATGTGATTGTGGCTACGAATATGAGAATATCGATCACGTGATTTGGCGATGTCATCGATACGACGAAGAGAGAATGAGAATGGGAGACATCTTAAGTAGTAGGAATATCGACGGAGTGGAAAGCGTTACAGACATCCTGAAGAAAAAAGATTGGAAGAAATTTGGTGTTATATTCAACTTTATCAAGAAATTGAACAGAATTATTTAAAAACTTACTGGGCTCGCAGATGCGAGTAAGGTTAAAAAAAAAAAAAAAAAAAGGCGCCCTCTACCCCAGCCTTGCGTTATATAACCTCAAGAACTGCTCCGGTTAGGTTGACGACGCGTGTCCCGAGTGAGATACAAAACAAAAAAAAAAAAAAATTGGCTATGATCAAAGGGGGCATCATTATTGATTAAAATTTTCAACATAAATTTATCTGTTAAATATATTTTTTGTTCGTAGAACGTTATATTTATATGTGTTTATATCTATATGTGCTCTTATGTATTTACAGGATGTCTCTGAATGGTTTGTACAAACTTTCAAGATATGTTCAGGGACCGAAATAAGCAAAATATGTCTTATAAACATGGGGTCAAAAATGCTTTTTTCTAGAGTTATGATGGTTTGAAGTTTTATTGCAATACAAGAAATTATCACATTAAATTATATAGGAGTTGTAAATTGTATTTATATTTATTTCTACAGATATAACAGTACTAATGTCTTGTTACTTGCTATACCAAATGCTCAAATTGGCCTTTGCTTGATTCCAAGAAAGTCTGTGCCTGAACCGTCATATAAGCCTCTATATAAGCGTTTTGACCCTATGTTTGTATGACATTTTCTGCTTGTTTTGTCCCTAAAACGTATTCGCAAAGTTTATACAGACCATTCAGATACACCCTGCATATGTGAAACATTATATTAATTTTATGATTAAACTTAAAATTATAACAAATTTGATTTTAACTATCCTTTCTATTTTTTTCTAATTTTTCTAATTATTTTTGTTTTTTTATTGCTTTATAACATGTATTACTGCTAAAAGAAATGATTTATTTTTTTGTATGTTATGTAATTGTAAACTTTTATTGACAGAGATGAAGCTATACAGATGTCAGGAATGCCTACATCGAAAAATAGCATTGAAGTGCAAATAAAGATATTTATAAATAAAATTTTCATCCATAATTTAGTTAATTTAGTACATCATATACATATATACGCACACATAGAAATCCGATTAATTTTTTTAGAGTTTAGAATAATTTGAGAAAAATTAAACGTAATTTTACAAATTCAGTAATTACTAGTTAAATTAAAACAAAATTTTAAATTTAAATAATTCAACAATTATTTCTATAATACCTGACTGCTCCCCATCTACAGCTACAACCGTACGACGCTCCTCTATTTCATTAGTTTTGGTTACAGCTTTTTTTATTTCTTCTCGGTCGAATATTGGTTTAGTTCCTTCTCCTATATAGTTTAATTACACCTTTTAATGATACAATTTTGATATGCATCAAGTGAAAAAATTTAGCTAATAATTTTATTTCTTTCAAATCCAAATTAGGCGATAATTTTGCTTATAAATTATTCTGTTCATTATTTTCAGTTAATATTGTAAGATCAGCAATATTTACGAATATTATGCTTTAAACGATGATAAAGATATTTGCTATTTTAGCACAAATTTAATATTTGTAAATATAATTGCAAGCAAGTAAAATATCTTATGTGCGATTTCAATCTTAAATATTCAATATTTTAAAAATAAATATAAGATTTAAATAAAAAGCAGTAAAAAATAAAGTGCAATGATATGATGTTTCTTATATCATTAATAGAATTTCGTTAAAATTTTTACAAAAATTATGACATTTTTCTTGCCTGTCATATTAAAATAATGAAATATGAATTACTTATATATATGCACAATAAAGATTCACACACTTTTTATAAAAATCAAATAATTAAAAATTGTAAACATTTTTTTATAAAAATAACAATTATGTTTACTAAATTATTGGATTATTGCAGATAAAATACTGTTTTTATTTCAGATTTGTCTTTATTTATAAAGAAAAATATAAATAACTGTAAAAATTTAAAGAAATTGATTATTTGAATTTCTATATTCATTAACAATTATTTGAAAATTGTATGACTTTGTCATCTTTCAAATTTATATTTGCATAATTTTAATGTAATAATCGATTATCGAAAAAACATTTACTTTATACATTCTATAAAGCATAAACTTTTGAACAACATTTTCTATGCAATAATCCAATATATAAAATCAGATCTTCGATAAAATCTGATTAAAATTATTTTATAATTGCTATATGCTATTTATATTAGATTAATTAAATGAGATATGAAAGAGTATTATAAAATACCTTCGGGAAGGATAACTACATCAATTATTTTAATCAAAAATGATTAAAATATATTATAAATACATTATATTTCTAATGATACATTTTTATAACTTTTATATTTTGCTATATGCACAAATTATATTGTTTTGACCGAATAATAATTATATGAAGAGTAAAATTTTCAGTTAGAAATAATAATAATATATTATTCCAATTACTTTTCAAAAAAGTGCATATCTTCTAATGTAAAGTAATCAAGAAAATATTTGTACTTAGCAATACATTTTTCGATTTATGTTGATCGATTAAACAATAAAAATGCATGAAGTTTGCAACATACTTAAGTGTTCCTATTTTTCTATTTTTTGTTATAATGCATGCATGCTTACACATATTTTCATCTTTTATCTTCACGATGAAATCCTGAGTAATCACTGATTATTTAACTACTTTAAATATATATATATACACATGTTATTATAAAATTTCAATAAGATCAATAAATTCATGGTGATTAAAAATCCAAATATTTAAATATATGAAAATTAATCATAAAAAAGATATATCATTATATATTATTTTCTACATTTCATAAGAGTTACAATGTGTTTAATTTTTATATAGATAAGAAAAATCATCTTTAAAAAACTATATATTTTAATTTAATGTATTAATCAATTATAATATTAACAAGTCTCGATAAGTGAACATTTCTGTATTTGTTTTAATATTTTTGATCTATTCTTGCTTTCCTTATTATCAGTTATCTTAATTTTCTTATTGAAGTTTATAGCCTTTCTCTTCCGAGTTGGAATCTCTCTCAATTCTTCCTACGCTGAATCATATGTATCATTGTTTTGTCAAAAACGATCATTCCTATTCGTGGTTATCTTCTTGGAGCTTACCACTGATTTTATATACATAGTAATTTGTTTATAAAAATAAATCCATTGATCAAACATATAATAAAACTTTTATATAATGTAATAAAAACTTATCGTCAATATTTTAATAAAGATTTTAGTTCAGACTTGGCTATGACTTAATTCTCAAATTATTTACAAATTATAATACTAGAATATCTACTAAAATTCTATTAAAGAAATCTCTAACATTTTAGATAAGAAAAAAAGAAATTCCTCAAAAATACTAAATTTTCTAAGTTTCAAAAAACAGACATGCTGAATGATAATTTCTACAAAAGATTAAAATTTAGAAAAAATGTAACAACTTTCAAAAAAGTTAATATTTTATCATCTCTTCAAATTAAGAATGCATTTTCGGCATTAAGTATACTTCATTGTAGTTCAATAATCTTTCATAAAAATTTTCTGATAAAAATCAACTATAATATTAATATTTATATTTATATTTACTATAATATTTATCAACTATAATATTCTTCAAGAAGTAGATATCTTCAGTGCAACATAATCATCTCTGCAAAAAAATTTAGAATGCTGTACAATTTAAAAAAAAATCAATATTTTACCATCTCTTCTCTTGAGGACTACATCTTCGGCATTAAGTATACTTCGTTGTAGTTCAGTAACAATAGGTCCTTTTGTAAGAATATTCCTGTGAATATCAACTTTAATTCGACATAGTTCCGTAGTACTAATCTGTATACCCTCAGGACCTTTAAACAAAGGTAGTGACCCACTTGTAGACCCATCTAATCTAAAGAAAAATTCAATCATAATGTATTAAATTAATTATAATGAACAAACTTTTGCATTAACCAGACCTTTTCGAGGAAAGATCTGAGGACATTTCTATTCCTAAATATGCCTTCAAAAATTACATCTTGTTTTTATTTTATACAATTTTATTTGTCTTGTTCTTTTGCTAATCAAATATGCATTTTTATGATATTAAAAGTATGGTCTCAACCATCTGATTATTTGTTAATATAATGAATAATGTACATGCATTACTCAAATCATTTCAAATTTATGAAATTTAGAATGCTGTAATAAATATTAATAGTTTATACCATATTGTAACTTTTTTCATTTTATCTAGTTCTCTATAAATTTATGTTTAGCATATCCTAAAGCTGTTGCACGTTTCAACTCATACTCTCTAATCTTTTTTTGTTTTAATTTTTCATGTTGCCTTTCTCGTTCTTGTTGACGTTGCCATTCACGTCTACGTCTTTGTTTTTTTTCTTCGGTCCTTGAAAGTAAAATTGAATGAACATCATGGTCTTCATTACGAGCAGATCTTGATTCCTCATATCGCCAAACATTGGTTGATCGGGTTGGATTCATTAGTGATAATATGATGCAAAGTGAAATTTATTGCTGTAATCATAATATACAAAAATTAAATATATATTTAACAATTTATTGAATAAGTTCTAGCAGAAATCACAAATTATTAACTTTAGAATATTTTATGCTTAGAGATTAAATCTTTTCTTTTCTTTTTTGACATGTCCCTGTACATATTTGAATATATATTTTACACTATGCAAAAGAACAATATTCATAAATAATTGTCTGTAGTTATCATAAAATGTATAACTACATTATCATTAAGAAATTGTAAATGCTTTCTTAATCTTCATAATAAGATTTTAAAAAATCTTATCTGAATTCTTCATTAAAATAGAATACTGTTATTAATGATATCTAATATAACCCAGTACATTTTAAGAAAAACCGAACAAAATTATGAATCTTATGGAACCTGTGTAGAAGACAATAATAATGGCAGAGTAGAAGTAGTAGAGATACAACCAACGTTTAATGGAATCGAACTAATAATTTCAAGTCAAAATATACAATCTTTAAATAAATTAATACGAAGTTTATTTACATGGATCACAATCTAATTAAATAATTTAAATTTATTTGATCTTATTACAACTTTGCACTATCAAACCACACAGATTTCTTATCAAACAAGAACCAAATATTCTCCATTTTACATAGAATTCTCCGAGATTGCGTTCGAAAATCTATCGTCAAATATGGCCGTGTTCAAACCAATCAGTTGTCGTCTTATCAACATTCCACGTTGATTTGTTGGTTATAAAATTAAAAACCAATCACATTCGTGTGCTACAGTTTGTTTTTCGGAACGACTTTGCTCGGTTTGATCATTCTCCAACTGTCAAGTTTTCTATTAATTGTGTTTTTTTAGTCTATGGTGTTACGTGTAATGTATATGTATGAACATTCACAGGATTAATGTGAATAATCGTAAACAAGTTTTAATTATTTATTAATAATTATGGCGCAAACCATGCCTGGGGATGATTCATGGAAGACGCAGAGCTTTCGACAGAGCCTAATCGCGAAAATGTAAGTCAATTCGCATCTAATATATTATAAAAGAAGAAAACATTTGAGGAAGATGAAAAGGGTAACCTTTGACTATAGTTTGGCTACGGTCAAAGGGGGTATCATTATCGATTAAAATTTTCAACTTAAATTTATCTGTTAAATATATTTTTTGTTCGTAGAACATTATATTTATATGTGTTTATTCTTATGTGTGCTCTTATGTATTTACAGGATGTCTCTGAATGGTTTGTACAAACTTTCAAGATATGTTCAGGGACCGAAATAAGCAAAATATGTCTTATAAACATGGGGTCAAAAATGCTTTTTTCTAGAGTTATGATTGTTTGAAGTTTTCTTGCAATACAAGAAATTATCACATTAAATTATATAGGAGTTGTAAATTGTATTTATATTTATTTCTACAGATATGACAGTACTAATGTCTTGTTACTTGCTATACCAAATGCTCAAATTGGCCTTTGCTTGATTCCAAGAAAGGATTCCATGACTATAACAACATTTCACCGTAATTAAAAATATACCACGTTGTGAAATTATAACTATATAATTTAGCAATTATAATTTTATATCAGAAACGTATAGGAGCTAGCAAGCGAACAATAGAAACCCCAACGTGCGGCTATCGTTTGAACTTTCTTTGTAGCTCGGACCGCTCCCGATCTTGATACGATAAGCAACCCCGCGCCGTTCGGGATGCTAACGACATCTGCACGTCGTAAAACTCGGGAATCAACAAATCATAGACTTTTACGATTTATTCTAATTTAGATTTTCTCGTCGTCTATTATATCCTTATGACCATATATAGTCATGATAGATCCTCGCCCAGGGAGAAACAAGAAATCGGATCGACGTCGATTAGACGTAAATAACGTCTATAACTTTTTCAGTTCAAATTAGACGTCGACTAGACGTCGATATTATTTGCTAAAACAATCAGGCCAGACATCAATAAACATTTCATTTTAATCCATAATAAAATACTTTTCATGTAAAAAAACATATATTAAAATTTATATATAAAATATATATGTGATCCATATATATATATATATATATTTTTTTTTTATTTGTGTTGTATAATTTCTCTTTGTGTGTGTAATATATTAATTAATTATAAAAATAAAGGTAAATTAATTATTATATATATATTATATATATATATTTACTAATTATGTATGAGGAAACTTTATATGAAAATATAACTTTAATTATTTAAATGATTGGTTCGATAACGCTTATTTTGATTTAACTGTCGTATAAAAGATAAGTTGCGAGTTGCGACACCGCCTTGCGACTAAATATGGTACCAACTTAACGCAACGAGTTAACGAACTCATTCTGTTATTGTTCCGTGATCGATGATCATTCGTTGAAGTTCGTTGAATGTTGAACTGTGCTTGTGATAATATTTGTTCTTCTGGAGGCCTATTCTGTAACTTTTAACAAATGCGTTATAACTGTAACGCATGCGTTAGTCGTCGTATCGTCGACGAATTCATGGTTAACAAATGAATTATAGTTATAACGCATGCGTTAAAAGTTACAGAATAAGTCTGCTGGATCGATTGCTATTCTAATAAAGAAGTCATCACCAACAAAAATGAGTGAAAGTCCACCGGTAAGTGCTTCATAATTTATAATTTCTTAATAATCTACTTTTTACTTTTGTGCCTCAAGTCGTCTGTAGGTTATAATTGTTTCATAAATAAATTACAATTTTCATATAAATAGTTCATAATTTATATATATATTAATAAATTATTTTGATTTATTTAATTAAAAATATTGTATGCTCTTATATATACACTTTTCTTTAACTCACTCTTTAACTAACCTCAACATATACGGAATTATTAATAATAATATTGTCACTATTGCTTCTTTTTTGCTATTATTTATTTAAAGTTTATTATCAAAATTTATTACATAACATTATTGTGAATGCAGTATAAGCAATATATTTTAGTACTGATGTTGTTCTTGTATTATTTTTACATCTATCATAGGAAAGTAGGAATCGTCGTAGAAATACGAACAAGCAAATAATTAATGAATTAGTTAGGCAATGTAGGAATCAAAGAAAATTGGACGATTTAAGAAATCGAATTACTACTGTCTACAAGACAGAGGCTTCATCCGATGAAGAGGTTTCATCCGATGAAGAGGTTTCATCCAATGAAAAGGTTTCATCCGATGAAGAGAATAATGAAATGCTGCCCATTCCAGGGATTGAAGATATTTTTTTATTAGAAACAAATTCTGAAGTATCAACAGAATCTGATGCATCTATCGATCAACTTGAAAATGAAAATATGGATGATAACAATAATTATAATAATGACAATGACAGTGAATTACATTTTGAAGATGAGAATAATGACAGCGAAGGAAGTGTTGAAATTAATGATGCTAACAGATATAGTAACGATGAAGAAAATGATGATTTAATGATTGAATTTGAAAATGACGAACAGAGAGGACGCTATGTTTTAAAAACATTGAGGGAGTGGGCCCTTGAAGGAGGTGTGTTATCTATGAAGAAGTTAAATGATTTACTTCGTAGATTGAGAGTATTGTTTCCCATCTTACCTAAAAGCTACAAAACCGTTAGGTGATAATAAAAAAATTGTAGCATCAAGACTTATGACCAAATTGATGACTAATTCCTTAGCGAAACAATTCAACTTTGATGGTCATAATCCTCAAAAGGCTAAAGTTAATAAAAGGCCATTTAAGAAACTGAAACTATGGGAATTATTTCAAGGTATTTTATCTTCTTTTCAATATTTTGTTTCATCTTAAGTTTATTGTAGAAAAAATTCATAAATATTTCTTTTTTTTCTAGGAGTTATGCTATTAAAATTTCCTACCAGTGATTTGGAAGATGCCTTAAATGCAGTCAGAAATTGGCTACGAAACGCTGCTGGGCGTAAGCAATAAAATGTGCAATTTCATTTTTTTTATTTTTAACAGAATCTAATGTATAAGAAAAGCAGAGGTAAAAAGTGCTCGCATACGAGAATATTGCGTTGTGATATCTTATTATTCTTAGACGACTCTTTACAAGGTCTTTTTCTCGATACAAATTAGCACGGGGGAGGTTTCCCATTAAAAGGGAAGAGGTCATTTAATATTCGTCATAAAATGCAATTAATTATTTTTTTTTCTTGAATGTGAAATATGATCTCTATTCATGTGCAATTTGCGAAGTCTTATGTCATTTTTATTTTGTTATTGTATTTTTGATATTGCTGCTTTATTTTGAATATTATTTGTCTTATTTTTTATTTATGTAACTGATAAGACATTGTCAGGTTTAAATTTGATTTGAATTATTACATATAAAAGTTTTTAGTTGAAGTATGTATATGTAGAATATATATGTACACTAATAAAGAATGTATATATATATACATATATAAAATATATATATTTATAATATATATATATCAAGACACGATAAGATGGCATATACTGGAGTTTTCAGTATGTCAACAAAGATTATCCTGTATTGAAATTGTCCAATACATATTAATAAAAAATAGATATAAGGTTAATAATACATATAAAATTATTTTCTAAAGTGTCTTTTCCATCCTTTCAGTTTCAATTATATAAATATATGTATAACAATCTAAATACCAAGATCCAAATAATTTTAGTGTTGGTTCTATTTTTTTCATTCGTAAATTAAAAAGGTAATGTAAATTTTCTAAAGAAAATATATTTGCATGCATCCAATATTACAATTCAATGAATATTTACTGAGCAATTTGTTTTGATTAGAATATTACATTATTCTATATTTTACAATAAAAATATACTTAGAATTAAAATAAAATGTTCACTGAATGGTGTACGTAATACTGCACTTATTGCCTGCGTTCGCAGCAGAGAAAGTAGAAGTGTCTGTTGTAAAATTATTGAATTTGAGTATTGTATGAGCTTAGGTTTAGTCAAAACTAAAAGCATACGCCAATTATACGCCATTATTAGATTCATCAATTTTACAACATTTGCAACGCTACTTTTTCTGCTGAATACAGCCGTTACATCAATTATTTAGATGTCTATTAGACATTTTATAGACGTTTATATTAACGTCTAGATGGTGTCGAAATTCAAAGATTTGTCCGTCTATATAGACGTCAAATTAGATCTTACTTAGACGCATATAAAAGACATCGATTCGACGTCTTTTCAACATGCCATTTCTCCCTGGGTATTTGGTCAAAAGAAGAGCTCACTCGTTGTCTTCTCAGAACCGCTAAATAATCCTCTTCTTTTATAAGAAATTTATTATAATATCTTCCTAAAAAAGCGTTTTCTGTGAAAATCCTCCCACCTAAAATTTGCACACGACACCAGGATTTTTCGTTTTCAAGGGGTATATAAACCCTAGAAAATCTGGCCCAAGAACGGCGTTTCATAACATATCATCTTAAATTGTCGTTAGCCGAGGAGTGCAGCAACAATTTTCTATCATCCTAAAAAGTTATTTTATAACGCGAATCTCGGAATATATAACTTTGTCAACAACACTTAGTCGCTGTAACCCCGCGTCAATTTGTAATTTGGTATATTGTTCAAGTCACGGGTTAGCCGTCGACCTCGTTGACTTCTTAATTCTTAATCGCGCACAATTTGTTACCGGGTTAAGGGTCGGCAGTACACCCGCAGGCAAACTCCGAATTGATATTGGAGACCTCGTGCGGTGACAACGCGAAACTCCGGTTTCAGTGTTGCCAACGCCGAGAAACCAATTCTCGGGTTTTATGTAGTGGTGTATGTCTGTACACGTACATACACCAACTGCATCGCTCACGCGGACGCACGTAAGAGAGACAAGGACCGATAATCACGTGTTCTCCTTGTTCATCTACCGTGCCGGTATACGCGAGATGCCGCCTGAAAATGCTTTCTGGCCTTCCGTAGCAGAAAGCAGTAACGTAGCAAGACTAATAAGCACCCACTTTTTGGAAATTGTATATATGGTTATGCACATATGTGCATAACGTATATATATAACATATATATATATATATATATATATATATATATATATATTATATAAGGGATATGTTGATTATATTCTTGATTTCTTTTTGATTATTGATGCTATTGTATATAATTTGCTCCAAATACTTATAACGTGAAAGAACGTTGAGTAATGTATAATCAATGCAAGGATGTTCAGTATATCATCCAGTATATAAATTAGAGTTCAAATATATCAATATCAATTTTTATATAATATATATATATATATATTAGAATATAGAAAAATGATAAAAAAATATATTTCGGCGATTAAAAAATTTTTTAATATATTGAAAATATTTTTACTACATACACTATATATAAGTGTAAAATAATTCAGAAAATAAATTTAATAAAAATCTACATACCAGCTGTGTGCATGTGTGCAATTGATTTATTACTTGAAATTTATTTACGGAATTATTTTGCATTTATATATTTATAGTATGTGTAGTTGTAAAATGATTAAAATATTTTCAATATCAAATTTTTAAGTTTATCGCCTATATAAAAAATATATTTCTATGATTTTCTATATTCCAATATATTATAAAAAAATTGATATTGATATATTTGAACTCAAGTTTTTTACGTGATTAAATATTCTTGCATTGAGCCATCATACGTTACTCGTAAGTTCTTTCACGTCATAAGTACTTATGTAGCAGAGAGAAAGAAATGAGAGTTATACAATGTAACATCAATAATCTTATATATTATAATCTTATATATTATAAATATATAATATTTCATTTATTTATAAAAAACATTTTATAAATAAGTAAAATATTATACAGACAATGTACAAGATGTTCAGTTTGTGCCATAACAAGCTTTAATCAATAATTATTACTCCAATGAGTATAATTCACAATAATTTTTATATAATATAATAAGTAATTGAATATATAAAAATATTTTTAAAAATTTGTTTTAAAAATTAATTGAAAAAGAATATTTAAAATATTTTTTTATATTTAAAATATTCTTTTCCTCAATTAATCTTAAAAAAAATATTTTTAAATATTTAAAAATATTTAAAAATACTATATATTATATAAAAATAATTGTTGATTATTATATTGGATTATTAATTGAATGAAGCTAGAGCTTTTAATATGGCTTTTAATACTGCTTGACAAGGAGAGAGCATCATTCCATCTTTGTCTCTCTTACATCGCATATGTAGTAGCGTCCATGTAGGTACAAACACTAAAAAATATTAAATTTAATTTTTTTATTGTTTTGAATAATTTTATCATTAATATACTTATTTTCAGAACTATTTCAATTTTTATTTCATACTTATGTTTATATAAATTATAAATTAAAAACATATCAAAAATGTAATACATATTAATAAAATGCAAATACATATAGAAAATTAATTATAAAATGTCATCTTAAAATAGTTTTTATTTTTGTTCTTTATTTACATATGCATACATATACAAAAAAATAAAAATAATATGATAGCCTTTTTGCTGACATTATCTCTCAATATTTGCATCCGTGTGCTCACGTATTAGTGTTTGTACCTACATGGACGCTACTACATATGCGATGTAAGAGAGACAAAGATGGAATGATGCTCTCTCCTTGTCAAGCAGTCAGCATGTTACCACAGAAATTTCCCCTGCTCCTTATGAATCTAGTGAGAATCTTATCGTCCAGATATTTCATAAAATAAGTGACATAACTTCGTGAATTTTTTTTTAATATATTCTTTATATAATAAAGCAGTCCTCTAAAAGGCCGGATTTTACATTTTCGCTCTTAAAAATTTATAATAAATAAAATACGGACTCGCGGCTAACCCAACCTTACCCGTTCCTAGCTGTGCATTCCCCCAAGTTTATTAAAAATTTTTATTTTTATCTTTTTTTCATAAAATAGCTCTTTAGAGGACTACAAATGAGCTTACTGATTAAGAATATCCTAAATTTAATAAGATTCATTCAATATTTTCGCTAATATCTGGAAAATAAGAATCCGTAATTCCCGGCCGGCCGATAGGCGTCTCCACCATGTCGCCTGCCGACCCTTAAAAGACGAATAAAGAAGCATCGTACAATCTAGTGTTGATTTCGCCATGAGCACCCCACGACCGAGGTCCTTGCGAGGGAGCGAAGCTGGCCAAACACATCACAGGTCTAGGAAGAGTTCGTCGTTCTAAAGATAGGAATCTGTTAATCACGCAGATCATCCAACACTCCAGTATTACATAAAAATTCGAACAAGTTTCGAAGGTTGCGCAGATTTCTTTCAACCAATTTTCAATCATCTTCCAATTGTCCTACCATGAAAATACATCAATATTAGATGATAGATTTTAACATAGAAACAGAACTCCTGTTATTACTCGAATAATTCTCTTTATCCGCATCCTCATTTCCATCGCCCCGAGCGCTGCATAGCGCACCGGAGGCAATCCTCCCATCAGCGTCTTGATATTTTCATCGAAAGTCATCTATTCTTTGACTCTCCTTTTGGTTTCGAGATCAAGAGCATGCAAAAGACATGATCTATATTGATGTAATTTCCTCCAGTACATCCTCCCCTAGTAGTATCCTCTTAGTAACATCTTTTAATTAAAATAGATATTCCATTACTATTTAATGACATTTTATAAATGAAGACGCGAGAACAGAAGATCAAATATCGGAGGAAACGTAATCGTAGAGCAGGTAAGAAAAATTGTGCTAACAGTGTCGCGTCTACCTTGCTCTGGCTCAGACGACAGTTATTAAAAGATAAACCTCGCATCAAATCGTGTGAAATAGTTGCCATTTCTCCGGAGACTATAAAAAGATTAAAGACTTCACCTATTTAACTAAATCATGACAATAAACTCGTAGCAGACAAAGGAACCTCTCTTATATCAAGATCGAATCCTCGATCAACCAATCTCCTAATTCCCTTGAATTCTTGACTTTTGAACTACTTAATTCCCTTGAATCCTGACTTTTGAACTACTAAGTTCAATCAACTCCTCAGTAGAAGAAGCACTTAATTATTTTAATCTCAGAACTAACTTCCCCGAGTTATCATCAATTCCAGACAAAGGAATTCCCTCTGACTCAGGAATAGAATTCTTGCCAGGCGAACTATTTAATATATTTAGTTCAGAAACTGATTCTTCAGAGCAATTACTAATCGCAGAGTTACACAAATTAGTATTGCAAGTGGGAAAAAATACTTTCCCGGAACAATTTTACCCTACAGACAAAGTACAAATATTAAAAGATCAATCCTCCGAACAATTACTAATTACAGAATTGTGTGATTTAGTATCATAAATAGAGAAGAATACCTCTCGGAAACAACTTCATTGTAAGGA